TTGTTTGTTGTGTGTGAAGGAAAATTACAAGTGCGACCTTTATATGAAAGGCATATTGCATGAACACATAACCGAGTTAACTGAGAACTACCTATCCCCAGGTTAACATTGCGGGTTTTTTGTAAAGAAAGAAACTCCAACTTCTAGGCTCGAAGGGGGTGACAAGGGGATAACTTCCTTATTTCTCCAGTGTTTGGGGATCGAAACAATGCCTTACATCGTCAACAAAGTTTGATTGAAAGCATACTGACAGCAGTTATGGGTATAACGTTTTCGTCATCCTCCCTCCAATCTTAGCATACCAAAAATTTGGACAAAAAGTAAATATTTGAAAATAAAGCATAAAGATGCAAATAGTAGGCAAAATGAATTGAATCAAAAGTCGCAATGCTCATTTCATTAATGTAAAAGTACAAACATAATTTGAAAGCAAACAACTAATACGAAATAAGGAAAATTCAAACAACAAGGAATAAAAGGCCTAGTGATAAAACATCATTTCTGATGCACTGGCAAGGGATCCTTCTGAACATTCGGATGACCGTCTGTAAAATCAAGTATTCCGGTTCTAACCAATTCACGCACTCTAGCCTTCAGCGCAAAACAATGTTCCAAGTCGTGGCTTGGGGCACCCTCATGAAAAGCACAATGGAGATCGGTCCTGAACCCAACCGGATGGGGATTAGGAGGAGGTGGCGAAGCCTTTGTGGTGATCAGTCCTCGTCGAACCAAGTCAAGATATAGCTCGGTGTAAGTCATGGGAATAGGATCAAAGTGGCTTCTGTTCCATTTTTGGTTTGTCTGATAACTGGGTGTTGAGGAGTCTGAGCTGGCTGTCCTCTGGCAATCAATATTTGAAGCATTTCAGTGAGCTTAGTCATGTCTGACTTTAACTCATCGATTTCCATTCGGATCTCTGTATTGTATGTCTCTTGCTCTAACATCTTATGTCTATAGTTAGCCCTGGTCTGATATCTGTGCCGAGGAATCAGCTTGACGACTCAAAGGTACACTGGAAGACGAGAGAACCGAGAATGAGAAACCGGGGGAAAAATGCAATGCAAAAATGTGATGCTAATGCCATGTAATAGTTCCAAGAATTTCAACGGTCGATTGCAAATATTTCCTTTTAGGAAAGTTGGAAACGGTTTTAAACTTTGAAATGTAGGACTTTTGAATTCGCAAAGGACGGTTGAATTCCTTGAAACTAGGAATGATGTTTTATGAATGTCATGCACAAATACACACAAACAACAAAGTCCTAGGTTAGAGGAACAATGAATGGAGTTAAGGTCTACCCTTCCCAAAAGGTATGTACTATGGGGTAGTTGTACCTACAGAACAAGGTTCTAAAGCGGTGCCCAAAGTCATCAATCCATCTTTCGGATATTATCAACTTTCCGACTGACTCGGGGGTCGATAATATTCTCAAGAGAACCTCATTTGAGTGTAGTATCGCGTAGCAACCATTGTAGGACTACTCCCACATAGTTCCCGCACTACGTCCTATATAAGGCCAAGGTGGTGTTAAGGTACTACGGTCCCCAGTATCACAGACTCCAGTTGAAAATAGTAAAAGTTTTCACGACTGCACTCGATCAACCGAACCATTTTCGAAAGGGTCTCAACTGAGCGGTGATTCTCGAGTCGACTTGGTCGGGACTCACTCCCGGCAAGCCTCATCGAATATCTCACCTTCCTATAATAAGGTCACTCAAGTCTGGGTTAGGACTTATCTCACAATAACAGGTATCCCCACAAGGTACAATGATATATAAAAATAATTAATAAAATATCATACAATAAACAAAATAGGGGTAACCCTTAGAAATTAGGAGGGTCCCCAGTGAAGTCGCCATTTTCTGTTGCGGTTAGAATATGATATCAAATTATTAATTAATTTGAATCGCATCTTTAGTTCACAACCGCTCTTTGATTTATCCGAAGGAAAAGGTCAAAAGAGGAAAACCTAATTTTGCATCGTAAAGACAATGCGGGGAGAGATCTAGGTAAGGGGTTGGTTAAGCTTAGGGAAGGTACTAGCACCCTAAACTTCTGTAGTACTCTACAGGAACCTTTTGTTTATTGTATGCTTTTTTTTTAATATTTTATTATCTGTTTTAATATATATTGAGCTAAGGGATAGAGTGACCTAAAAACCTAAGGGTTAGTCCTAAGTTTACTCGGCAAGACGTCGCATCTTGTGCCTACATATCCTGACGGGAATGGAATCAGAGTAATTGTAGTTCCCCTCGAAAGGGAGGTTAGAAACGTCTTGACTGTGGTTAAGGTTTCAATGGGGAATAAACGTATCTTAAGGACACGCTTATGTGGAGTCTTTGAAACTCCTATTTCTACGTTGAATTTGTTAATTAAAAATTTAGGGTTGAAATTAGGGATTCCACGGCGGGAAACCCTAAAACAAAGTACGGCGACTCTTTGACCTAAAACTAGGGTAAAGGGTATTTTTGTCCACGGCGGGACGCCTAGGTTAATTAGGGTTTGAGACGGCTAAAACTAGGGTTATTGACTCGGCGGTCAAACAACTAGACCTAATTCCTTCGGAGGGAATTCTAACGGTAAAACATGCAAACATGACAAAATATTATACGGCAAAATTAAAGTGCGGAAAGTAAAGAAAGCGTCGCGACGATCACTCGCGTAAATTACAAATCCCAAAAAAAACAAAAACAAAATAAATCGCGACCATGGCCTCGCGTAAATTACATCCATGGAACAAAATAAATTAAAATAAATATGAATCATAATCTATGTATAATCTGAGGAGAGAAACAGAGAACGTTAGTGAAAAGTTAGACGAAAATATGGCAAACATATTTTATATTAAAAGAAACACGAAAATGCAATTTGGAATTTTTATTATTGTTTTGTTAATTTTTATATTTTTTTTATTAAAATTTTAGTCTTAATTTTAAAAGGTTTTAATTTTTAAATAAACAAAACTTTAGTTTTAACTTTTTATCTTTAGAAAGTTTTAATTTTAATTTTAATTTTTAAAAGAGAAAGTCTTAAATTAAAAAAAAACTCTAATCATAAGTTTTTTTTTTTAAAAGAAGAAGTTTACATAAAAAAAAAGGTTCGTTAGTCTTACTTTAAAAGAATGTTAGTTTTAAAATTTTAAAGAAAGTTTTAGAAAAAAGTTTTAACCCTTTCTAACATGTTTTAATTTTTAATCTTTAAAACTTAAAAAAAAATGTTAATTTTAATACTTAAAAAAAAGTTTTAATTTTAGGACTGGGTTAATTTTAAGTTAGTAAAAATGTTTTCACTTAACTATAAAAGTGTTTTAAACACTGTTTATTTATAAAAAAAATTATTAGTGGTTAGTGTTTTAATTAAGAAAAAGTTTTAAGTTTTTTACTTACTGTAATTATAATCAAAAACTGGTTTTAATTATAATTCACAAAAAGGGTTTTTAGTTAGAAAAAAAGAAAAGGTTTAAAAAATGAGAGTTTAATTATTTGGAAGAGGTTTTAATTGAGATAACATAAAAGCTTACATTTCAGTTGCCGGTTGGTGATGCTTTCGCTTGTTCTTCGCCGGCGGCAATGGTTCTTGACGAACTTCTTTGGATCTCTTTTCCTCTTTCTCAAATGGAGATGATGATGAGCTTCGAAGCTCTTCTGAACCTCCGGATCTTCACGACCGCCGTTTTTCTTTTTGTCTCCTTTTCTGATGACCTGTTCTTGATTTTCTGATGTGAATGAAGTTTCCTCCCATCACTTATGTTTATATAGGTAACAAATTAGGGTTAGCTCTAACCTAATTCCCACTTTAAAGCCCAACTTAAAGAATTAGTCAAAACTAAATTAAAACAAACTTAAAACAACTTAAAACTCTATTTATTTACTAAATATAATAAAATATTTTCTAATATTTTTAATTTTTTGATTTTTTGATGTTTTTTTATGAATAATATGGGAAAAAGTGAAAAATAATATTTTTAAAAAAATAATTTAAATAAAATACGAAAATAATAATTAAATAATTAAAAAAACTATTTTTGTTATTTTTTTTTTATGAAAAATAGAAAAGTTAGAACAAAAATAAAAGAAAAACAAAAAGTGAAGAAGGTGGGATTTGAACTCTCGACCTCTCACACTCACAACTCCTTACACACGATCTCTTGCCAATTGTGCCATTTTATTCATTCAAAATAAAGTGGCACTAGAAACTATGTAAAGGTAGGACAAATTTGGGGTGCAACAAGTAGTAAGTTGTGATTGAACTTTTATGTAAAACTCGGGTGGACCTCCGGGTTTGGGTTTTATTGCCAAGTACTTGATCTTCATAGAGTTTAATTGGTAAGTCCTTGATAATTAAATTCAATTTTGAACTCAAATGCTAAGCAGTTGTTAATGATTAAGTCAAATGCAACCTAAAAGTGATTCATTTAAAACTACTTCCTCTATTTTGTAAATGGTGTTTCTTTTGAGTTTTGCACCATTTTTAATATGAAGATTAGTTAAGTTAATTATATTAAAAAATTGAGTCTCATACAAAAATATCTTATTAATTATAGTTGAATTGAAATAGAATAAATAATGTATAATGATAAGAATAAATAAAGAATTTTGCTTTGCTATTCTAAAAAGAAAAATATTACAAATAGATATTTAATATGACAGGAAGTGAGTAGATTTTTAGAAAATAATCATAGTTGATATATGAATTTCAAATTACACATAATATAAACAGGTAAAAAATAGATTCAAAAAAGAAAATTAATTTTAAATAAATTGAGTAAAGTAGGATTCCAAATTTTATATGCATTTAAATATACTTTAAGATCAATTCAAGTTTATACAGATTTTCACAATTTATTAATTATAAATAAACCCCTATTTCTAATACAAGAACTCCTTCTAAACAATAAAAGGTCATAAATGTAAAATACACATGCTTGTCGAATTTTATCCAATCTATGCGACTCTCATCCTCATTTCATTTCCCAACGTTTTTTGTCCGATGAGACAACCATGGAGGACACAACATGGGAGCAAAAGCTCCACGCCCTAACCCACATCCTAACAACCCCCACAACCACACCATCTCTCCACTCTCAGTTCTTCATCGCCACCCAAATCCCATGCTACCTCAACTGGGACTACCCACCAATCCTCTGCTCAAACCCATCTCTTGTCCAAAAATGGAAACTCTCGTTCTTCCTCAAAAGGGTCGCCACAATGGGTATTCCTGAAACTTCTTGGAGGTCCAAGTGTCCGTTCCAGCAACCTCTGCCGTTGATTCTTGCTAAAGGAGTGGAGGAGGCACAGTGGGGAAATGAAGAGACGAAGGGTTATGCTAGGAAGAGGTTTTCTAGGAAACGAATTGGTAGAGATGTTAATCCTGTTTTGATCGTTTGGTTGCCTAGTGTTTTGTTGGTGGTGGTTTTGTCACGGTATGTATTCGATTAGTTTTCTTCATTGAAAATAAACCCTGTATTCTCAATTTTTAATTAACCAATTCTACTGTAAGATTTGGTTTATTTTAGTTTGTATTAGCTTTTTGAGTCTTGCCACAAATGGATCATTTAATTATTTAAAGTGTAATCCAGTTATAAAATTTTATTAAAGATGGTTCTTGTAGAATCATGAACTAAACTACAAAATTACCATAAAAGAACTAACTCTCTTTATAATTCTTGGAAAAAAAATAGGAGCGGAAATATGGAAATATGGGTGGATGGGATGAATTTGAATTGGTGAGTAGGGACAATGAACCAAACCAACTCGAAGATAGTTCGAAATTCGATTCGACAATTAAAGTGTAATCTACTTGTAAAATTTTATTAAAGATGGTTCTTGTAGAATCATGAACTAAGCTACAAAATTACCAGAAAAGAACTAACTCTATTTATAATTGGAAATATGGGCGGATTGGATGAATTTGAATTGGTGAGTATTATTAATGGGTGAGTAATTTTTTTTTCTGCTATTCTCACATTTAAACCTGAGACTCTTTATTTTTATTAGATTCCCGTATTCAAATTAAAGACATTAAATTCAAATGACATGAAACATATTTTAAAATGTCTACGACACACATAGAACCACAAAAGATGTACTCAAACACTATACAAAAGATGTATATTAGAGAACACTATACAAAAGATGTATATAGATAGACACAATTATGATTGACTCCAAGTTTTGACTCATGAAACCTTATTTTTTTTGTTTAAAATTAGCTCAATTGAAAAAAATAGTGATGTAGATTGTATTGATACTGCCTGACTTGATATTGCAGGTTCAGTTGGTGTTGCCTTATTTTATATTGCCGGCAAATTTAGATCCATCTCAAGTTTTTCTCTTAGTTAAGCCTACAATAAAAACAAACTCAATTCCAATATTTCACCAAAGAGATCAAACAAGAACTTATTGACACGTTCAGTATGCTCAATACCTTAACAAAAACTTACTTAATACCTTAAAAACATTAATTAATCGACTTTGAAGCAAGATAATCAACAAGCTACGTACAATGAGGCAGGAGGTGACAGGTACTAAGATCTGTGATAACAGTGACAAAAACAAATTTCTTTTCCATACCTTGCCACTTCAGAACCCATAAAATGTCCAATTAACTATATTTGATATTGATATTTTAATACAGCACTCATAAATCAATGTAAATGCATCTTATTATATTTTGTGAGCAATTGTTTAATGATGAATCTATTATATTTGCTTAGTTGCATATCACTAATTTCAATTCTAACCTTAATATATTTAGTTATATGTAATAATATTTCAATGCATAATTTTTAATTGACATGAAGAAATAATAATGAGAGATAAGGGCTTACAAAGTCAGTAAATCTTCCATACTTTGCTGATGAAGAAAGCCATAAATTTTTTGGCCATTTATAAAATTTAGAACTAGTATTCCAAAATTAAAAAATATCAATGAATTCAACGAACAAGCTTTCATGAGAGAGAACAACAACCTAAAAATTCTCATCATATAAGATTTTTCTTATTTAAAATTGTAGAATGTTACAGTTAGAATTTAAAAAATTGCAGAATATTTTCTTAATACAAATAAAATAAAATTAAAAGAAATGTAAATAAGCTCGTGAAACCAGTTTTAACAACACAGATTAAGAGGCATTAAAAAAGGGATATATCATGTCTTGTAGGCGGCGACAACCAAGTAGACAAAGTGAATCCATTTAGGAGAAGTGCTATGAAACACAACCTTCCATAACTGAACATGCTTAACCATGAATTTATATTGACCCTCTATATCATTCAATGGCTAAAACTGTATAATCCTTCCAAACATCTTTACCAAATATCTAAAATTTCAAAATCAACATATTGACATAAACTTCATATTGAATAAGAGATATTCCAGATCTAAAACAAGGTTAAATAAATTGAATAAATTAAGAAACACAAACACATCAAGAAACACATCTATAATTAAAGTACCTATCTTGTATTTATCACTAAACTGAATTATATATTTCTTATTCATTCTAAGGTTTCTTCTAAGAAGAGAGAGTGAAAATGAAAACTAGCGATGTGGAAATGAAATATTGAAGTATTTCGACCCACATTGTTTTTAATTTTACAAATTTAAATCAATATTTCCATGTCATCTAATAAACGTTTAGCTGAAATGTCACACATGCACAAACTAACAGAAATTCACAAAATTTAACAGACAGGATCAAAGTGGGGATCAAAGTGGTTAACGGAAGTACACTTGAGGGACTTGAAACAAACGTTTATTAAATAAGGGACTAAACTGAAATTTAAAATTAAGTTAAGGGACTAAAAGATGCAATAAGCCTAAATAAAATTATTAGCATGAATGAAAAAAAATAAAGACATCTAAAGTCAATTTTTTAAAATGAAAAACATGATGTAATTCTATATATATGTTCGAACGCAGTTTTCACGCAAACAACCTCTAACCTCCTGACGCAGGTTTACTTGCGGGACCGGCCAAATAAGTCCCATAACTATCTGTCGAGTATATGCGATGGTGGTAGAATGGTGTTTGTTAGAACAAACTGGAAATAATCTTGAATAAAAAATGCATATACTTGAATGAAAGGCGAATAAAGTAAACGAGAAAAAGCGACAAAATATCTTAAAGTTGGTAATGTAAATTGCTTTTAAAAGGAAATGTAGACGCGATCGTACATTTTGCAGGAATGAAACTCTTTTCTCTTAACGCTTGGTACTCAGAGTGTTTTTCCCTTACAATGTTACAAAATGCGCCTTTCAAATGAACATGGGCATTGTCTTAAATAGAAAAGAAAATAACTGTTATGTTGGTTTTGGTGTCGCCACGTGTCCCTCCACCACCTTTGCAACTTTCCACGTTCTCAGATTTTCAAATTTTCTTCCCGCTCAAACATTCTCATGCTTCGTGTCGGTTTCCTTGACCATCATTCGACACCTTCGACGGGATAGACTTGAGTCGACTTACAAACTCCCTCAGCTGGCGCCGACTCACCTCGTTTCCTTCACCACCTTTCCTAGTCTGTCAACCCACAAGCCAACTTCTATGTCACCTTCTCCCAGTCGAAAAATTCCACTCAACAAGATGCCCCCTCAAAGACGCAGTTTCGACTGAGCACTATGTCGACTGAGAAACTTGGCGTTTTGGTTTTCTGTAAGGTTTCAACTGCACCTTGGTTATGACCTAGCAACACCATCATTGTCTTTATGTCGAGTCAGCCACACGTCATTCGACACCTTCGATGGGATAGACTTGAGTCGACTTACAAACTCCCTCAGCTGGCGTCGACTCACCTCGTTTCCTTCACCACCTTTCCTAGTCTGTCAACCCACAAGCCAACTTCTATGTCACCTTCTCCCAGTCGAAAAATTCCACTCAACAAGATGCCCCCTCAAAAACACAGTTTTGACTGAGCACTATGTCGACTGAAAAACTTGGCGTTTTGGTTTTCTGTAAGGTTTCAACTGCACATTGGTTATGACCCAACAACACCATCATTGTCTTTATGTCGAGTCAGCCACACGTCACCCACAGTCTAACGTGATAATGGTGCCTTTTGGCGCCACGATTTCCAAGAAAACTAATCATGCATGGTCGCATCCCAACGTTTTGGGCTTTAAACCACTCACACTTACTCTGGAATCGGAATCGCCCCCTGTCTTTTCAACTACATGTCATCTTTCCTATAAATAGCTTCTTTCCACATTTGGTTTTATTTTCCAACTTCTCTCACATTTTTCCTTTCCCTCAAGCTTTTGCTCTCAAAGTTTCTTTGACTTTCTCTTTCAATGGCTTCCTCAACCACTTCCGCTACTCACACCACCGAAAACAACCCCATTGCGTTTGTTCTCTCTGAAGGCGAATCCCTCAGGCCTCTTCCAAATCCGACGTCCGCTGATGACGCGGTGGTAGCTACCTGGCAATGCTAGATGATTATACTCTTCGCGGTTGCTGAAAAGTTGCATGCTTTCCATGGGCCATACCCTGACAAAAAACCCAACCATGAGGAACTTCAAGTATTTTTCCCTTGCTACATTCCCACAATTCCCCCAACTTTTCAGAAAGGTGGCGTCCTGACCTCAAGTTTATGGCAAAAGAGAGGACCAATGGAAGACAGTTGGCATCTTTGACGCCATTCAGCTCTCCAGGAATGCTCATAGGGTTAACCTCTGTCTACTGTTGGCATTGATGTATTTCTGGGAAGGGTCGACCAACACACTCCATTTCCCATGTTGTATGTTGATGCCGACGCTCTTCGACGTGGCGGCCATCACAGGTCTTTCTCCTTTGGGCGAAACCTTTGATATGACCCTGAAAACGGACGTCACCTTCGACTTCGAACGTGTTGGTTTTCAGAACTTTATAGAGGACCATCATGATAAAGATTCCGAAGAAGTGTCGGATGAAGAACACATCGCCTTCCTTACTCTTTGGTTATCCTACTACCTTTTCTGTCTTGCCTCTCTAAAAATAGCCAAGAGTTATATCAACCTGGCGATCCAAATACATGAAGGTCGACAGGTATCTTTGGGTAAGCTTCTACTATCATCTCTCTATCATTCTTTTGGTCTATCGACCTTGAGAATAAAACTCCTTCACGAGACCACCAAAGCCTTGAATGTTTCAGGGCCTATGTGGTTGTTATAGCATTGGCTCAATGCCACATTCGAGCACCAGTTGAGTTATCCCATGTTTGAAACAATGCAGCTTCTGAATGAAGAATGTCCCACAGAAGGCGTTCGACTTGCCTTGATGACTACGCAGGAAACTCCCAACAAAACCTTATTTATGAAATATCTCACCATGTTTGCAGAAGCAACTTCCTTCGTCCCTGGCATGACTGCCTTTGTGCATCGACAGTTTGGCCCGTTGTGGTTTAAAAATCCATTCCCTGGTGCTTCCCCAAAAGCGGCAGCAGTGTCGAATTCTATATGGAGGG